CAGTGGTCCCGAGAACGACTTTCTGTATAGTTGATCAATTGACATTCAGAATCTGGGAGCCTTGAGCTTAATCTTTCTGGCCTCTCGGACGTCCTCCAGAAGCGCTCCATCCATTAAGTATGCAATGATTGGCTTCATCCATCCCGACAGTGCTCCTACTATGGTTGGTAACACTTGCTCGGGCTTTGCTTCGTCTATGCTCGGACTTTCTTGGGTCTCAATAAGTATACGTCGAGTTACCTCCGAGGCCAGACATGCTAAGGCATTGGCGTGGGTGTTATGATCTCTAGGAATCTGAGAAACTTCCACTTTTTCAAACTTTTTCATCCTGGATCTTGCCTTCTCATGATATGTCTTCATTCTGCTGTTCCGGACCTCGAAGTCCCCATTTATCTGGTTCACGACTAGCTGGGAATCGTAAAATATCCGAAGGTGTCTAACCCCAATCAAGCTTGCGGCGTCCAGTCCTGCTAGCAACGCCTCATACTCGGCTTCGTTTATTGGACGCCTTGAATTTCAATCTGATTGTCCTTTCAATGATGAACCCTTCTGAGTTGGCTAGCACGATACCTATCCCTGCCCCCCTTGTGTTCGAGGATCTATCAACATGAAGATCCCACACATCCGCAGTCTAATCCTGTGATGTTGGGGGGGCTCGGACGCAGAGAACTCGACGACAAAATCCGTCAGGACTTGTTCCTTAATTGATGTTCGAGGCTTGTACCTAATTTCAAACTCCCCGAGCTCTACAGCCTATTTGGCAACCCTCCTGGACATATCAGCCCTGTGAAGGATAGGTTTGAGAGGTCGGTCTGTAAGGACGTCTATGGCGTGAGCCTGGAAGTAGCGTCAAAGTTTCATTGCTAAGACTACCAATGCCAATACCGATTTCTCCATTGGAGAGTATCTTGTCTCGGCGTCAAGCAAGGTCTTGCTTATGAAAAACATGGGTCTCTGTGCCCCTTTGCTATCCCTGACCAATGCTCCATTCACGGCGTCTTGGGATACGGACAAGTAAAGGCTCAACACCTCCCTTGCCGCTGGGACAGATAAAGTTGGATGATGTTTCAAGTACTCCTTTATCCCTTCAAGAGCTCGATCGCATTCCTTGTCCCAAACCCCCTTAACTTGGAAAAGAACGACTTGCACTTATCGGACGACTTGAAAATAAATCTGTTGAGGGCTGCGAACATCCCGCCCAATTTTTGAACGTCTTTAATAGTCTTAGGCGCCCGAACATTCTGAATTGCTTGTATCTGCTTGGATTTTGCCTCGATCCCCCGATGAGTGACTAAATACCCCAAAAACTTTCCAGAGCTCACTCCAAAGGCGTATTTTGAGGGGTTAAGTTTTAGGTCATATTCCCGGAGGATGGCAAACGTCGTCCCGAGGTGGTGGAGATGATCGGCCTCCTCTTTGCTTTTAACCAACATGTCATCAATGTACACCTCCATTGTTTCGCCAAGCTAGTCTTTAAAAATTTTGTTCATCAATCGTTGATAACTCGCCCCAGCATTCTTCAACCCAAAAAGCATTATCGTGTAACAGTAGATTCCCCGGGGCGTGATGAACGTCGTCTTCTCCTGATCTGATTCATGCAGGGAGATCTGGTGATACCCGCCCGAGCATCCATGAAGGTGATGCGCCTGTGGCTGACTGTAGCGCCTACCAGCTGATCAACTTTAGGCAAGGGTTACTCGTCCTTGGGGCAAGCTTTGTTTAGGTCCATGAAATCCACGCAAACTCGATATTTCCTTTCTTTCTTCTTGGTGCACACGGTATTGGATAGCCATTGGGGGAATTGTACCTTCTTGATGGAACCCGCCTCCAACAACTTCACTACCTCTTTATCCATAGCTTTTGCGTGATAGGACGTCGTTCTCCGGGTTATTTGCCTAACGGGTTTGAATAAGGGATTCACATGGAGCCGATGAGTCATCACTTCAGCACTTATCCCCATGATCTCGGCCTGGGTCCAAGCAAAGACTTCGGCATTGTGGCGTAAAAATGAGGCCATATCATTTCTTTCTGTGCTGCTGAGCGATTCTCCTATCAAGAAGTATTTTTTGCCGTTATCTGGGCTCAGGAGAATCTTTACCAAGGCCTCAGTAGACCGGTCGGCCAACTCCATAATGGGCTCGTCCACCCCCGAACGACCGTTCTGTGATTGCTATTTGGGAACCACCGCATCGGGATCACGCTCTTGACACCGGACGCTAATTCCCGTTTTCACCACGGCATAGAAGTAGCTTTTTGCCGAGGCCTGAACACCCTGGATCTCCATTACGCCCTGCGGCGTTGGGAACTTTATCTTTTGGTGGAAGGATGAGTGAACCGTATTTATTGCATGTAACCACGATCTCCCCATAATAGCATTGTAAGGGAAGTCAGAGTCTACCACCATAAATTCCACTAGCACGGTCACCACCCCCGTCCGTACCATGAGAGTGATTTTTCCAAGGGGCAGGGCGTTGGAACCGTTGAAGCCGATGAAAGGGGTTTTTACGGGTTCCAGATCCTTGTGAGAGAGTCCCATCTTGTGAAAAAGGTGATTGTACATTACCTCGGAGGAGTTGCCCGAGTCCACCAATATTCTCTTAATGTCGAACTTCCCGATCTGCAATGTGATCACTAATGCATCCTCGTAGGGGACGACAACACTGCCAAGATCAGCATCCAAAAACTAGATAACCTCGGCATCGTTCTGTGGTCTTTTGGGCGACTACTCATCCCTCATTTCGTCCACCCTGACTGCTTGAGAAACCCTTTGTAACTCGGCGCGGAGAGAATTGTATGTTGGCCTCTTCACTGTGTAGACATGGATAACGTCAATCACGGGTGTTACCTCAACTGGCACCGTAGCTCGCTCCCTCATTGACCCACCGGGACGGGTCCTATCGAAGAATTCCCCGAGGTGTCCGTCTCGCACCAATTGTTCGAGGAAGGATTTATAAGTCTTGCAATCCTCTTTCAAATGACCGACATCTCTATGATACGAACATAGGAAGGTCGCATTTCTTGTCGACGAATCTCCAAACATCCTCAGGGGCCACCTAAAATAGGGTTTGTTTTTTATCTTGGGGAGTATCCTGTGAATGAGCTCGTTGAATACCGTGTTCACTCCCTAGAAGGATAGGCGAGTTTGGGGTTGGAATGGGCCCTCCCCTTCTGGACGGCTACTCCTTATCCCTTTTTCTCAGAACCGTGGCCCTGCTTTCGAGCGTGGCGGACTCCTCTTCCACCCGGGCATATTTGTTAATCCGAGTCATCAAGTCTTTCATGTTCGTCGGGGCCTTTTTGGTTAGCGATTTGTACAAATCAGTGTCTCGGGACAGCCCCAGCCTAAATGACGCCGCGACCAATGCCTCCACCTCATTCATCTCATCCCAATATCGGATGACATATTATCGGAGTGTCTCTCCCCTTTTCCGCCTGAGCGTCAACAGAGCGCCGATGTCTTTTGATTTCTTACTATTGGTGATGAATCGAGCCAGGAAGAGCTCTGTCAGTGGTCTCCAGGACCCAACACTCTCGGGAACAAGGCTCTCATACCGGTGTCCCCTAAGCTCATGGAAAAAACTCGGCACAACACCGTTTGGTCAGTATCGTAGATTGACTTCAATTACNGCTCTGTCAGTTGTCTCCAGGACCCAACACTCTCGGGAACAAGGCTCTCATACCGGTGTCCCCTAAGCTCATGGAAAAAACTCGGCACAACACCGTTTGGTCAGTATCGTAGATTGACTTCAATTACCTGTACTGCCGAAGGTGGCTCTTGGGGTCAGTTTTTCCATCATAGACTTTGAACCGTGGGACGGTAAACTTCTTCGGTATCTCGGCCTCCCTGATAGCCCGAACAAATGGGGAAATAACTTCGTCGGAGTAGACCGCGGGTTCATAGTTGCGCTGACCGATGAAGGGAACCTGTGGATCCTTGGTGTCTCTCTCCTCTCGAGGCCTTCGGGGCATGGACTTCGCTTGAGATTCGGCGGCTCCGATGCCCTCGGGTATCCCTCGGCGCAGGTCCCACCTAGACAGGCCTGCCTTCTGGCCCGATTCTGACTTTTCCTTGGAGGCGGACAACACTCCTCGGCGGTCACGTCCGTCAGGCGAGTGTCTTATCCAATCCTTCCTAGAAGGCCATCGCCAGGCGGGTCTGGACAGGTTCTGACTGGGCACCTAGTCCCCGACCCTGCGACTATGCTCGCCTACACTTGCTGACTGCTCAAAATCGTCAAGACGTTGCTGAACTTTGGCGTTTTCCCTTTCGAGCTGCTTAATACGCTTGCCCATCCGCTTTTCGACCATCTCCATGATGTCATGGGCCATGAGGTCACGTCCCCCAAGGCCCTGATCCATAGGGAACGTCCTTTGCGAAGAATGTCCCACCGTATCTGATTGGCCTAATGAGCCCGGCTCCAGAACCATTGGAAGCCGGGCGAGCTCTGCGTTCCTAGCCCGTACACCTGCTCCCTCACCCTGAGATCGAGTGTTCACCATCAGAGGATCGCTACCGAAAGAAATGTTTTCGTTCCCACAGACGGCGCCAAATTGCACGGGATGATTCCTGCAATCGTGTGAGGTGGCGATCTCCCAACTGACGAACCTGGAATAACAGGGTCAGAAAAAAAAAAAGGGTCAAGCGTGTGCCCGACTAATCCCCTCCGAAGCTTAAGTCAGTAAGAGTTCGAAGGGTTTTGCTTAATGGACTTTTTCTTATTTTAGTTTGCGTACCTTTGTCCATTTTTCTGAGGAATATTTATACCTGAATTGACAATGATTGTCAAAGGTCTTCAATTACATCTGGACATCTTCATATCTGACACACCATCCCTTGTACAGTGAGTGCTTCCTATTCATGTCTCCTCTTATTGAATGTTAGGAAAATGGGATAAAAGCTCGGCCACCCGCCGAGCAATTATGCCCCTCCCCGAATGACCAAATCCATCAGGTCGGCATCNCTCTCTCTCTCTCTCTCTCTCTCTCTCTCCACATAGCTACTAGTAACTACCATGAATAAGAACCCTCTTCATATGGCCAACAAATTCCTCCATCTGCTCCCTGGAATGCAGTGGGGATGGGTACACACAAGCACAATCCAACCGTCCATCTCGTATGGTGTCAAAAAGAGCAATGGAGGGGCCAACACCATGAACAGAAGAACATCCCATATAATCCTCCAGCCCAAGTTCTTGATCCATCTCTCTGGTAGTGTCGATCACTGGGTTCTCAAAAACCGAGATGAATGAGGTTCTCAACGAAGATGATGGAGTCAATCCCGGGTTCTCAATGACCTTGCACATGAGAAAGTTCAGGTCAGCCATGTCTGAGAAATGCTTGTTGCAGTTCTTGGACTTTGCAAACGCCATGTAACTCCGGCTAGCCAAGTCCCATATATTTTCTCCTCCTCCCACAGCAAGTATGTTGAGGATTGCAAAGTGGTAGTATCCTGAATCATTATGGGTGGAATTGCTCATTGAAACCAATGTTAACATACATTAAATTTATAAAAAAATTGGATAATCGATAGTATTTGGATTGATAATAATACACTCTTCTTCGGCCTCTCTTTAGTTTGGCTGGTCTTCAATTATAAGGGCTCAACAATTCGCCGCCAGCCTTTGTTTTTTAGAATAGATTATGGGCGTCGATCTCCAACTCAACATAGGGCGGGGGACAGGTCACAAGCTTGGTATTTAAGTAAGTATCACGTCGCAGTCCTTCACCCCGAAAATGCAGTTTTTGTCACGACCCATTTTGAGACTAGACTAACTTTACCAATACAATTGTAAATAATCACTCACAAATCATGGCCTCAATAAATCACCTATTCGAATGAGTTGCATTTTCCAAATTGAGTGTTATATACAAATGGGATTAAAAATTAGCTCAATGTATCAATGTCCCTTGACTTTAGCTATGTCCTTCTATGGGTAAACCAAAATTCAGGCTAAGCTTACCCATGACTATAATGATGCCACCCCATTTGATTTGATTTTGATCCATTCAATCTGGTGTCGAACCAAACATAGGATTGGACTAAAGTAACTCAAATCTAAGCAACTTATGTGAGCAATATGGATTGATCGAGTTGAATTGAATAGTCCAATATAATGCGTAGATATCCCGCTATCGAAAAACATCCCAATAGTATTTATGGTGCACCAACAAGCTATAGATAGATGTTTTGAATTAGTTGATTAAGTAACATCCACTACAATTGCTTACTACTCGGCTGATAGAACAACGTGAGAGGTAAAGTTATCTACACCACCAAGCCATATTGTACCTGGTACACAAAACTCGTAGGTATAGTGTAAACAAAACTTATCTGGATAGCTGAGGGACAGAGCTTACCGAAATGGTGACCGGAAAGAGGTGGCTCAAGGAGTGAACGACAATCCATTAGAGTCACGACAGCATACTTTTTCCGGGGGTGGTCGTGGCGGCGTTTGGAGGAATGCGCAGCAATCAGGCCTGCGGCTGCTAAAGCTCCACACAGCTTAATTCCTCTCGACTCGCAACCCTGCAAAAAAAAATTAGAGTTAATAACATTCGTTTTGTTATGATAGTCTCATTTTTCAAGAGGGATGCAGTATTTTTAGAAAAAAAAGATACGAGAGAACGGTCAAAACCAAGCATCTTTTAGAGTAATGACTATTACGTAAACTTAGATGAGTGAAATCATTTGCAAGTTACGCACAGTGAGTCAACTATAAATGTTTCTTGAAAATTCCAATCTAAAGCATATTCGATTATGGGACAAATTTCATATTTGATGGGTCAAGCCCAAGGGCCAACCCACATAGTAAGTCCGGTCTAAATTAATAACTCAACTCCAAGAGATTTAGTAAGTTCAACCAAAATGATTTACGTTCGATCAAGTTCATCAGGTTCGAGGAGCTACATCACCAAGGGAGTATGCAGGGTTATCCAAGAGTCTCATTCTCGTCACCTTGAAAAGAATCAATCCTCACCTCATCGTTTGACCAAATATCATGGAGAGCACCGTAACTATTTCGCTCGTTGAGAAGAGGTTGTCAGATCCACCAGATTAGTTATTTAGTTATTATTAAGATGTCTCAATCTATTAGGAGCATAGTTTTAAAACCCGGCCCGGACGACATCAACCCTGAGAAGGGACCGGGTCAATGGGTTTCTGGTTCAACCACTGGGTCACTGGTCAAACCGATGATATAATAAAAAAATAAAAAATAATTATTAATGATGATAAATAGACTAAAAAATTAAAATAGTTATAAAAATAACATGTTTAATATATATTAAATCAAACAAAATTATCAAGCCTGAATCACTTAATTGTATTCAATTAACAAACCAATGCAAATATTCATAAGTGTAAAAAAAATGTAAAAATGTAAAAAAGACAAAAGACATATTTATAAAAGACACAAAAATGGAAAAGAAAAAGACAAAAATGGAAAAGAAAAAGAAAAAGACACAAAAAATGGAAAAGAAAAAGAAAAAGATACAAAAATATAAAAAAAAGACATATTTATACTAAAGGAACAAAACCGTCCGATTTTGTAAACCCGTCCGGTTTTTACGGGTTATCGATTTTTTGACCGGTTCACCGATTTTATTCCGGGTTTTTTACTCAAACGATCCAATTACAAAACCGGCCCGGTTAGGGGACCGGGTCACCGGGTCAACCCGTCGGGCCGGGCCGGGTTTTAAAACACTGGTTAGGAGGCGATTATAAACACTAAGCCCCGCCAACACTTGGGGGCATCACATTTAATCGAGGACAACTCTCCTCTTTCTCTCTCAGCTTGTAACTCTCTATTCTCCCTATACACTTGAGTTAATAAAATACCCGGCGACTCTAGTCATTCAAAGTGGACGTATGTCACGTTGACCGAACTACTATAAACCTTGCCTTGCTTTTTTGTCTCTATCTCTCACTGATTAATTACTGTATTTATTACTATTCATCTGACAGATGGTGTACAAACTCAATTTATGCATCATCAATATTAAAGTTCATATCCAACTCCGGCAAGAATTTCCTCTCATGTCCGAAAAATCAATTCAATCCAAAATAATAGAACTAAAATTATTTTTTATAAATTACATATTAATTTTAATTAAATTTGATTAAACCACTATTTAATTTCAATCCATGTTTATATGTGCATATAATATAGTTCAAATTGGATTGCAACCAGATCAAACATCAATATACAAATCTAAATTCGTGAAATGATATTTCACAGTTTTCAGATTCATATCTCAATTTAGATAACCAGGCAAAATCAATCGATTCTAACTAGTCGGATTTAAATTCGGATTTGGTCAAATTTTGGTAAAAAAGGGGAAGAAAAAACCAATTAATTAATCCAAGGCATCTTAATTCTAAACAAGAAAATGCTACTCCAACTTAAAATATTGATTTGATTTGTTAACTTAATCAATTATAAATAGTGAATAGATAGTGAGTCTTAATAAAGGAGTAATGCTGGATGAGCTTAAAAATTAGACTTGATAATTTCAACCATTGAATAGGTAATGAGTCTCAATAAATACTGAGATCTATAGTGAAATCAGTGGTTGTAATTATCAAATTTAATTTTTAATTAATTAAAAATAACAGTTAAATCAACGACATTAATTAATGAAGTTAACAAATCAAGCCAATCTTTTAATTCCATATGCATAACATTACTGTTCCATATAACATTGTTCTTCCAAGAAATACCTAATAGCCAATTTCGGAAAATATTTGTTCATANTATAACATTGTTCTTCCAAGAAATACCTAATAGCCAATTTCGGAAAATATTTGTTCATACAACAATGTCATACAAACCATTTTTTTCTACCACCTTTGTCTATCACCTCAACACACATCACTAGATTAATAGGTCCCATAAAAATTATTAAATATTCCATGAATGTGATTGTGTCGCGTAGATGGTGCAGAAAGTTGCTGTCGAGAGCATTTGTCTGGTACAAACTATACCAAAACAAATATCAAACAAAAAAGAACAAAACAACCACATATATGGTTGGGTTCTCGATCATAATATAGTGGAAAAAAAATAAAGATTCACTGCAATTTTTGTGTACTTACAGCAAGAATGTTAGCAGTTTCTTGTGGGTTCAACTTTAGTCTCACCACCTCAGAACACCTAGTCCCCTTCACATCTTTGAACTTCAAGTTTGTGAGCCTCAATGAGTTCACAGAGTAACTCAACATGTCCACTCCATGTGCCCACAAAGGCTTCTTTGCCTTCCCATTAGGAATAAGCTCTTCAATTCCCAAACTAATAATGTCCCCTTTCTTCCCTTGAACCCCTCCTCCCTCTCTCTCCCCCACCAACTCCTTCAACTCTCTCAGCAACGACACCGCCGTGGTTCGGTCACACGCCACCGTATGGAGACGGAGCACCACCACCAGTTTCATCTCCGGCAATGCGTATACGTTGGAGACCAACACGTCAAGTCCAGTGCATGGAAAGTTGCTGGGGTTGGACCATATGTTGGTGTTCATCTCGTGTTCGAGGATTAAATGTAATGGAGAGAGAGAGGTGTTAGATGAGTTGTTGGAGAGGGTTTGGAGGAGTTGTGAGGTTGATGAGAGAGAGAATAGTTTGGGTTGGAGATAGGGTTTGGTGGGTGTGGTGAATGAGAATGCGTTTGAAGCAGTGTTGTAGTGCAGTTTGGATCGGAGGATTGGGTGGGCATTCTGGAGTTTGGGAAGAGCATTTTGGAGAAGAGAAATCTCTGTCTCTGCCTTGCACACTTGAAGTGCCAAGACTGTTATGCCTGTGCCACATGACACAGCTTGACACCAAGCATGCTCTGTGACACCCACTGCTCTACCATTGGGCTCAAGTGCTTGTGTGTTGTAGTTCTGATCACCCATTCCCTCTCACACACACACAAACACAAACACAGGGAGAGGGAGAGGGAGAGGGAGAGGGATATGCTATTTGTCTTCAACAGAAGAGGGTAATGGAAGGCACTGAGGCGGTGACTGTGTTCTTGCGGGGAATATATATAATTTTTTTTGAGTAAATTACACTTTATTCCCTGAACTATTATTTTTGTTTCACTTTGCACCCTAAACTATAAAATTTTTCACATTTTACCCAAAAGTATTAATTTTATTTTATATCACTCCAATAGGAGTAATGCTACGACCTAAAAATTTGATCTAATTTGTTGACATAATGATGTAGTTTAATAAGAATTATTGGATCAACACTATGTTCCAATGTTTGATGAGTCTTACAGCCAATCCAAAGGTCACAGTAAATTAGGTCAGCAATTTATGTCAGATATTTAGGTCCCAATAACATTGCTCCTCCAATAAATAATGATAAACTTGAAAATCTGTCGAACGAATATGAAAATCCAAAGAGTTTCCCACCAAGTCCGTAATACAATTTNGGAGTAATGCTACGACCTAAAAATTTGATCTAATTTATTGACATAATGATGTAGTTTAATAAGAATTATTAGATCAACACTATGTTCCAATGTTTGATGAGTCTTACAGCCAATCCAAAGGTCACAGTAAATTAGGTCAGCAAATTATGTCAGATATTTAGGTCCCAATAACATTGCTCCTCCAATAAATAATGATAAACTTGAAATTCTGTCGAACGAATATGAAAATCCAAAGAGTTTCCCACCAAGTCCGTAATACAATTTTATTTTATTTTTTTTATTTTTGATGTTTTTTCTAAGTCTACTCTACTCTAGATACGGAAGGTCCTTGCAAACATTAAATGCCATTAATGGTGGCTGTAAATAATTATACCAAACAACCATATTCTTTAACCTACTCCCTCTACTCTGGGGAGTTAACTGGGGTATTCAAAAAAAAAAATTATATTATACTTTATCATAGTTATTTTTTTATATTAATAGTTGTTTTTATTAATAGTGTGGTACCCAAAAAATGATAAAAATAATTATCATAATAATATAATAAAAATACTCACAAATATAATAAATTATCTANTTTATATTATACTTTATCATAGTTATTTTTTTATATTAATAGTTGTTTTTATTAATAGTGTGGTACCCAAAAAATGATAAAAAATAATTATCATAATAATATAATAAAAATACTCACAAATATAATAAATTATCTATAAAAATGAAAAATCACTCATAATAACAATAAATTTTTTGTACTAAAGAAAAGTGATAAAATAATTATCATAAATATGATAAAAATACCTATAATAAATATCCACAAAAAAAATAAATTTTTCACAAAAATAATAATTTTTTTATTGTAAAATAATAAAAATTATAAAAACATTTATTAAAAGTTGAAGGTAAGATTCCTAATCTGAACACTGACTATTGAAAGTGACAAGTTATCACTTTCTGTCAAAGCATTCATTATTTACCTTCTTTTTTTTTGTCGTTATTTACCTTTTTTTTTTTTTTTTTGAAACGATGTCGTTATTTACCTTCAATGGGACTTTACCTAACACTTTCTAGTTTCTACTTCCAAACCTCATTACTAATAAAACATGTTAATCAAAGAATCATACTAATGCTTTTCGAGAAAAAAAAAAACACAGTAGGAGTTCTACATTAATGGAGCTCCTAAGGAGTGACGGAACTACAAGGAGACCCCCCCGCGGTGGGGGGAGGGGGAGAGAGAGATGGGCCCCTCATATTTTCAAAATTACTCTATTTCCCCTTTCAGGTTTTCTAGAACTCAGCATGTCCTTCTAGGCTTTCAAAAACTTCTTGTTGTATAATGGATGTTCAATTAGTGTATTCGAAAATGCATAATTGCANCACAGTAGGAGTTCTACATTAATGGAGCTCCTAAGGAGTGACGGAACTACAAGGAGGCCCCCCCGCGGTGGGGGGAGGGGGAGAGAGAGATGGCCCCCTCATATTTTCAAAATTACTCTATTTCCCCTTTTAGGTTTTCTAGAACTCAGCATGTCCTTCTAGGCTTTCAAAAACTTCTTGTTGTATAATGGATGTTCAATTAGTGTATTCGAAAATGCATAATTGCATGACATTAAATATTTACTAACCAAATGAGGGATATTGTTCACATGGACGAGTGGCTTCTCACAGAAGAAAATGTTTGTTTGAACAAATTTGATAACCAATAGAAAAAAAAGAAATGTGTTGCAAAATCAAGGTATAAATGTGACTTTATATCATCAATAATGCACTGACTCGCAACTGATGTTTACAATAATATCATGTGAATATTTATGATGGTATAAAATTCAAAATTTTTGCACTATGTCAAAAAGGAGAGAATTAGTGGTTCGTGAAATTATTACAAATTAAATTTCCAAANCGTTTGTTTGAACAAATTTGATAACCAATAGAAAAAAAAAGAAATGTGTTGCAAAATCAAGGTATAAATTACTGAAATATAGTAGTTATTACGTGACTGAGCGTTGACTACAAATGTTATTATAGATGTGAATATTTATGATGGTATAAAATTCAAAATTTTTGCACTATGTCAAAAAGGAGAGAATTAGTGGTTCGTGAAATTATTACAAATTAAATTTCCAAATGATAAGTTAAAAATAATTTTTGGATTTTACAAACTAAGTTTTTGTGATAGTATTTTATAATTAAAACTATAATACTAATAGTAACATGTTGGATGATCTCATTTCATTAACTTCTTAATTGTGTCACTGATTTTATTTAGTTCTCTTTAGGATAATTTCTAATTTCGTCCCTGCTCCTCGGGGTTTTCAAAAAGTATAGTGGGGGCCATGCCCTATACTAATTATGTTTCACCCTTGTATGGGGTTAGAAGATTTTTGTCCTAGTTCGCCAATGTAGTGAGATCTTGGCATCTTGAATCCAAATGAGCAATGTTNGGGATAATTTCTAATTCCGTCCCTGCTCCTCGGGGTTTTCAAAAAGTATAGTGGGGGCCATGCCCTATACTAATTATATTTCACCCTTGTATGGGGTTAGAAGATTTTTGTCCTAGTTCGCCAATGTAGTGAGATCTTGGCATCTTGAATCCAAATGAGCAATGTTTATTGGGATATAATTTGTGAATCTAATGATTGTGATCATTAAAATATCAGTGGGTTTTAGTATTAAATGTACTCTACTATCAATTTAACGATCACAATACATTAAATTCCTGAATTATGTCTCAATTGCATTAGTTAAATAAAATAGTTTAGTCGACATGGTAAAAAAGTAAAAAAGTTATTACATAATCTAGTTTTTGTTGTTTCAAGATAGTATCCGTTAAGGGTCTTACTTGAGAATTGTAAGGTTTATGTTCAAATTCGATTTACGTAGNAGTAAAAAAGTTATTACATAATCTAGTTTTTGTTGTTTCAAGATAGTATCCCGTTAAGGGTCTTACTTGAGAATTGTAAGGTTTATGTTCAAATTCGATTTACGTAGAATGCACTATTGAGTTGTTTCTGATAGTTTGATTGTGTTAAAATACGATTATGACTCAAGTCATACTGAAGGAGCGCTTGTGAGTTCTCTAGTTTAAACTTCCCTNAGAATGCACTATTGAGTTGTTTCTGATAGTTTGATTGTGTTAAAATACGATTATGACTCAAGTCATCCTGAAGGAGCGCTTGTGAGTTCTCTAGTTTAAACTTCCCTAACAAAGAAAGACTACTATAATCATGCATTGACAAACATTCCACATCAAGTTCCCTCTCTTTATTTTATTTTTTTTTATAGAAAATAAAAACACACACACACTGTTAATCCTGCCCAATGACATTTGTTCCCCAATTACTAGAAGTAGTCTACCACTATGCTATCGGGGGTTCCATAAATGTGTGGTTTGGGAAACATTCAATGGGGATGCTTCTTCAATTCCATTGCCTTCTAGTTCCTGCAAGGGATGGCACGGCAGAGCTATGTCCTACATTCCCATTCCTGTGGTGCCTTAGGTGGGTCCCTTGTTCAGCTGCTTTGGTTTAATATTCACACATTATTCCCGTAAAACTGTTATGTGTGATATATAAAATTCTCGTTTCATTCTATTTAATTTTATATTGTGAGAACTATTTTTTTNTGTGTGATATATAAAATTCTCGTTTCATTCTATTTAATTTTATATTGTGAGAACTTTTTTTTTTTCTTTCGAATTAGTGGTTACATTAATTATAATGATTGAATTGATTATGCAACTTAAAGGAATTCAATTGAACGAAACAATGTTTTGTAATTACTTAACTTCAGCCCCGTTATGTTACTNTTATAATGATTGAATTGATTATGCAACTTAAAGGAATTCAATTGAACGAAACAATGTTTTGTAATTACTTAACTTCAGCCCCGTTATGTTACTACTTTAGAGAGGCCTAGACACTGGACTCTATAAGCGTTCTGTAAGAACAATTCGAGTCATAACTTAACTTCAGCCTCCACTAAGTTGCTAGAAGTGAATCAACAATCTAGTTTCCACAAATCAAACATGGATAATTCTTAGGCATTATCTTATTACTAAATCACCAAGCTCGATGGTGCATTTCCCTTTATTGATAGAATGGATTCTACAACATTTTTTGTGACCCATGAGAGGATTGAACTTTGTGGGGTGAGCCTACGTTGAGAATGAATAAATATCGAGTGTAACGCTTATATCATATTAATATTATTATGTGGTGTAACTGTTTAATGATAACACAACAATTAGGCAAGATGTATCCCACTCATTCAAATATTCACCCATCCACGTAAAATAGTAACCGGCATATATTTAAAAAAAGTAGTATTCACTTGTTCATTTTTTTGTTTATTATTGTACGATTACATCACGTGATAATACTAACGTGGTGCAATAGTTTCCACATATACCAAACACCAATTCTGGTTTAAGTCTCATATCCGACACCCAAGTAATTTTTATGTTATCATTGTCAATGAAAAGAAATTCTTAACAAACTCAATTTAAATTTAAACTAATTTAACTTATCAAAAGACTATCAAATAATAGAGTGACCAACAAATAAATAAATTGGCTTAATTAAACATTGATCTAAAAATTTTGCTTGGGCCCTAAAAACAAAATTAGACTTAATTGAACATAAATTTAACATCCTTAAAAACAAATTTCAATTTAATTAAATCTTAATCTAAAATTTTTTGGGGGCCCTTAAATATTTGAGGGCCCTAGGTGAATGTTTTAGCTGCCTATCCCTTAGGCCGGCTCTGGTTTTATGGGTATAATAGTGAAACCGTGCCATCGTTCGTTTAATAACAAACTTATAAATGAGCAAAATGAGTCCACTTATTTATATAAAGTGGTTATTCTTTTAAATGGACATAGTAATTCCTAAACTAAATGGGGCTCACTGGTTTACATATTAGTTTATTATTAAATAATGACGGCACATAATATTAATCACGTGATGTTATCGTGACATTCAATATTTTCTCGCTCCGCACCCACCTCACCCTTGTGTGCGGTTCGAAGGTTTTTGTCCCGTTGATGTGAGGGCTAGTTCGCCAATATAATGGATAACAAGATAATTAAAATGATCCCTTAGCAACCAAAAAAATTATGAGCGATATTATTTGGATATGATTTATTAATTTAATTGTTGTGGCCATTAAAATGTCACTGGATTCTAGTATTAAATGTATTATATTATCAATCTAATGATTATAATACATTAAATTCTTAAATTANTATTTGGATATGATTTATTAATTTAATTGTTGTGGCCATTAAAATGTCACTGGATTCTAGTATTAAATGTATTATATTATCAATCTAATGATTATAATACATTAAATTCTTAAATTATATCTCAATTGCGATAGTAAATAAAAAAATGGTTTAGTCTACGTGATCTGTTCATGTATCTTAGATATCGTGTTCTTGTACTTTTTTGTCTTTTCAATCAATGGTAAAAAGGTTATTACATCATTTAGTTTTCGTTAATTAAGAATAGAGTACCATTAAGAGTCATGCTTGTGAATTGAAGGATTCGATTTACGTGGAGTATTTTTTTTTTTTTTTTGATACTTAAAAATAGGGGTGGGGATAAGAAAAAGTGCCCAGCGATCACACCGATAGATCCTCACCGGTGGAATTATGAGGCCCTTGACCACGCCTGGAATATCTCTCGAGGCTAGACCTAACTAGGCTAGCATAGAGGCCAACCACCAAACTCCAATGAGAACTCCAAGACTCGAACTCCCAACCTTAAGGTGAAGAGTAAGACCGGTACTCCACTAGACCACCCTCCTTGGGGTAATTTACATGAAGTATACTGTTAAATTATTTCTAACAATTTAGTGCTCTTAAGATCCGGCTATGACTCAAGACATCTTAGAAGAACCCTTGCGGGTTTTCTGGTTTCTTTCTCTATTTTTTCATAGAGAAAAAAAAAACAACTAAAGACACATCTATGTTAATCCTGCCCAAGAACAATGATGANTATTATTTGGATATGATTTATTAATTTAATTGTTGTGGCCATTAAAATGTCACTGAATTCTAGTATTAAATGTATTATATTATCAATCTAATGATTATAATACATTAAATTCTTAAATAANTTGTTGTGGCCATTAAAATGTCACTGAATTCTAGTATTAAATGTATTATATTATCAATCTAATGATTATAATACATTAAATTCTTAAATAATATCTCAATTGCGATAGTAAATAAAAAAATGGTTTAGTCTACGTGATCTGTTCATGTATCTTAGATATCGTGTTCTTGTACTTTTTTGTCTTTTCAATCAATGGTAAAAAGGTTATTACATCATCTAGTTTTCGTTAATTAAGAATAGAGTCCCATTAAGAGTCATGCTTGTGAATTGAAGGATTCGATTTAAGTGGAGTATTTTTTTTTTGATACTTAAAAATAGGGGTGAGGATAAGGAAAAGTGTCCAGCGATCACACCGATAGATCCTCACCGGTGGGATTATGAGGCCCTTGACCACGCCTGGAATATCTCTCGAAGCTAGACCTAACTAGCCTAGCATAGAGGCCAACCACCAAACTTTAATGAGAACTTCAAAACTCGAACTCCCAACCTTAAGGTGAAGAGTAAGATCGGTACTCCACTAGACCACCCTCCTTGGGGTAATTTACATGGAGTATACTGTTAAATTATTTCCAACAATTTAGTGCTCTTAAGATCCGGCTATAACTCAAGACATCTTAGAAGAACGCTTGCGGGTTTTCTGGTTTCTTTCTCTATTTTTTCATAGAAAAAAAAAAAACAACTAAAGACACATCTATGTTAATCCTGCCCAAGAACAATGATGACAATTGGGTAATGAATGGGTGAGTGAACAGAAGTAACTTNAAAAAAAAAACAACTAAAGACACATCTATGTTAATCCTGCCCAAGAACAATGATGACAATTGGGTAATGAATGGGTGAGTGAACAGAAGTAACTTCTGCTGCAGAATAGTTTGGTAATTGTCGTTCTACTTTTGGTTCAATGGAATTAGAAATTGACCTACGAACATTGTTTATTTATATTGTTCCCCAATTACTACAAGTAGTCTACCACTTTGTTATCGACTTCCATAAATGTCCATACACCATGTGCTTTGGGAAACATTCAATAGGGTTTGGGATGGTTCTTCAAGGTGGGTCCCTTGTTCAGCTGGTTTGGTTTAATATTCACACCTTATTCTTATAAAATTGTTGCGATATATTAAATTCTTATTTAATTTTATATTATGAGAACAATTTTTTTTTTTAATTTCGAATATGTAGTTACATGAATTATAATTAAGTTTGATTGAATGAAACAAATTAAAGATTTTAAAAAATTAAAAATATATATATTTTTTTATGTAATGCTAGCTATGATTTTTGGATGATGTATAAAATTTATAATTTCTCTTCCACACCCACCCACCTAATCTAACGTTTTTGAAAAATTATCCATGAGTTTGATTAACTATTTTTTTTTAAAAAAAATTGAAGGAATTAACAAAAAATAGTAGGAGTAGTTACATGGGAGAAGACAATATAAGAAGAATAATCTGTTTTCTATTAAAAAATCTAAAAAATGTGAGAGATAAATAAGGAGAAAAGTTTCCTAAGCCCTTACCCCTCTAATACATGATATGATCCTTCATGGAGTATGTACCCACGTAACCAAACATCGGACTAAAATTAGCTGGTAAGATTGTAAGAGTTAACTAATTCTTGTCAAGAATTTAAGAATGGGACAATTGAAAAAAAATAATAAATTATTTGGAAAAGAATTGAAAATGATTAACTTGATTTTGACATGATGAACACTTACCCAATTTATGATTTGAATGAAAGATTATTATTAATTTTTTGTTATTTGATCAAATCTTTGTATTATTGAAAACTTTTTTTTCTTTCTAATTGGGTTTTGTGGTGAACACCGATTCTACCATTTCTCTTTATTTTTTTTCTTTTGCTTGCCAAAAAAGGTTGCGAGGGAATGATCAACATGAAATGTTGTCTATGCATGACCATAGCAGTCCAAATCCGCTAGGGTAGTCGTTTAGAAGGGCTTAGATGGCGGATTCCGTAGACGCTCGATGAAGACAATTAAAACCATAACTTGACTTCAACTTTACCAATTTGTTATAAGCAAGTCAATAATTTACTCTCCCGCAAATTGAACTAACGTAACTTTTATGGGACGATATCTCACTAGACCACCGAGTTCACTTATGCAGCTCACTTATGCATTTGTCTTTATTGATAGAATGGATTCTACGACATTTTGTGACCCATGAGAGAATAGGGCTTTGTGGATTGAGTTTACCTTGATAATGAGTAATTATTGGGTTGTGACCCATGAGAGAAATAGGGCTTTGTGGATTGAGCTTACCTTGATAATGAGTAATTATTGGGTGTAATGCTTATATTATTTTAGTATTATATTGTGATATGACTGTTTAATAATAACTCAACAATTAGACAAGATATAACGCTTATTAATTACCAAATATAAAAACAAATAAATTCATTTATCTATTTTTTATTTATTTTTGGAAATTATTAATTGCCAAATATAAAAACAAATAAATTCATTTATTTATTTATTATTTATTTTTGGACATTGACGCCACGTGATAATAATGGCTCGTGCAACATTTACCAAAGTACAAAACAACAATCGTGGGATTAAAATGACATTAAGAGAAACTGGAGGGTTAATTCCGTCAAACAACTTTGTTTTAGTTTTCCATTTTACATACACCGTCAGATCTACATCAGCCGGTGACGAAGGGTTGGATTGAAGTGCGAGTGCGGCCCAAATTTCAAAATCTCCGTCTCATCCCGCTCCATTTTGAGAGAGCGAGAGAGAGAGAGAGAGAGAGAGAGGGTAAAGGGAGAGGTACAGGGAGAGGGATTGGATTCATAGTTGCTTGAAAATGTCGAGTCGTCACGAGAAAGAGAAAGGTGTTAATGTTCAGGTTCTTCTTCGTTGTAGGTACTGTACTCTCGTTCTATACATATGGCCATATACATGTATGCGTTACACACCTGCTTATATTCATTTGTACGCCGTCTGAAATATGGCTAGGAAATAGGGATCCTATTTTGTTTATGCCGAGATAATCGATAAGTTTCATGATTGGAATGCTCGATAAATGCTGTTACATTTAAATGATTTTTTTTCTAAGGTCTGTATATACTTTTCAATACTCTTTTAGGCCATTTAGTGAAGAAGAGTTACGGAACAATGCACCACTGGTGGTGACATGCGATGAATACCAGAGAGAAGTTGCGGTTTCTCAGAACATTGCTGGGAAGCACATTGATAGAGTTTTTACATTTGACAAGGTAATTGACCAAAAAGGGTTTTATTTGCATGATTTGCAATGTAGAATGAAACCTAAATTAATGTTCTTTGGTTGAAAAGCCTAAATTTCAGTTCCACTGTCAACGGCTAAATTTGATTTTGATATGGGTAGATGATATGTTTTGAAATTTATTCACTGGGAAATTTTGGGTTTGATAAGATTTTCTGCTATGTGAAACTTCTGCTGTTCAGCTGTTTGTATTGATTATTTTAAAATATTTGGTTTATGTAGTTGATAACTATACTCACGGTTTGCAATTTTACATACACAGATTGTGGTGAGCTGGGGTTTTGAACTTGCAGATGGAAAGATATTGCAAAATTGCTTTAGAACTTTGGTCATCACAAGATATAAAAATAATCCTTGAATTAAAAAAAAATTAAAAAATATATATTTGATATCAGATAGTCAAATTCTGAGGGAGGATCCATTTGATTGGTATTCAGAAAGTGTGGGACTTAGATGTGTTCGGGTTTCACTCTAGAGTCTGAACTTTGACAGTTGTGCAGAATTCTGATGTGAAAAGTTAACCACTCATTGTTTTGAACTAGGATTTATTTGTGATTTAGCATTATTTGTGTGATGTCCAACTGCTAGGATTTCTTGCTATGTTGATATTTATTGTTAATTTTTATATACAGGTTTTTGGCCCTTCAGCTCAGCAAAAAGATCTTTATGAGCAAGCAGTTATTCCCATTGTGAATGAAGTTTTGGAGGGTTTTAACTGTACCATTTTTGCGTATGGACAGACTGGTACAGGTAAAACATACACCATGGAAGGTGAATGTAAAAAGTCAAAGGTATCATGGAGTATACTAGTTATTTTCCTTCAAAGTTTTGTTTGGTTCTTTTCCTAGTTTACATGTGGTCTTCTCTTTCATTAACAGAGTGGACCTAATGGAGAATTACCTTCAGAAGCAGGTGTCATACCTAGAGCCGTGAAGCAAATTTTTGACACACTAGAGAGCCAAAATGCAGAATACAGTGTGAAGGTCACATTTCTGGAGTTGTATAACGAGGAAATTACTGATTTGCTGGCCCCTGAGGAAATTTCCAGAGTTGTTTTGGAGGACAAGCAGAAAAGACAACTGCCACTTATGGAAGATGGTAAAGGAGGAGTTCTTGTGAGAGGATTGGAGGAGGAAATTGTTACAAGTGCAACTGAGATATTTACTTTACTTGAAAGGGGATCCTCAAAACGGCGTACTGCAGAAACCTTATTAAACAAACAATCAAGGTTAAAATTCTGTCATTGCTTCTAAAATTTCTGTCAAATTTATATTTCCTTAATTGTTGAAAGCTTGTTTTGTCTTTCAGTCGGTCACATTCTCTTTTCTCCATAACTATACACATCAAAGAATCAACCCCAGAAGGTGAAGAACTTATCAAATGTGGCAAGTTGAATTTAGTTGATTTAGCTGGTTCTGAAAATATTTCTCGTTCGGGTGCTAGAGAGGTGATATATCACTTAAATATTATCATTTGGCTCGGCATTTTTCTTTTTGTTGAACTTCATGGTGTTTTTCTTTCAGTTGGTTGGAATTTTTTTTCTGGTTGAACTTCTTGGTGTTTTCTTTCCTCTTCTCTTTTGTTTTATTGTGTCTACTTCAAAATTCAGGGTCGTGCAAGAGAAGCTGGAGAGATAAACAAAAGTTTGCTTACTTTAGGACGAGTAATCAATGCTCTTGTGGAGCATCTTGGGCACGTTCCTTACAGGTTGAACTTTTCTTGAGTTGGTTATGTTTTCTTAGCCTTTTTCAGTTATCTGGTTTCGTTGGTCAATATCCAGTTACAATGCTTAGTTGGATCCAGGGATAGTAAGTTGACTCGTTTACTTCGTGATTCCTTGGGGGGAAGAACCAAGACATGCATCATTGCTACGGTATCACCTGCTGTTCATTGTCTTGAGGAGACCCTGAGCACACTGGATTATGCACACAGGGCAAAAAATATAAAGAATAAGCCTGAGGTTTGTCATTGTTGTAATAAGTTTGATAGCAATAAATTTTTTTGGTGAACTTTTCTTAAGTTGCAGCATGTTTTATTAGATTGTATGAGCTTAGTATCTCATCACATTTTCTACATTTATCATTCAGCAAGTGGACACACTTGGTTTCCTTGGTAAATGTTCTATTTGGCAAACTTGAACTCAGGAATATCATGCCACAGATTTGAAGTTTCATTTGCCCTGATTCGACTGGTGTTCTACATTTGCATATGCTATCTAGATTTACAATGTTGATTTATTGAAGCTGATGAAAGACATCATTTAGCGTATTCTAGTAATTTTCCTTGTATTACTAGAAAATGTTGCTTTGTATTAATTACTGTGAAGTATATTTTGGCATGTACACTCACACTTGAACACAAGCATTTATAAACATGATTATTATGATCAAAATGGATTGTATGTCTAGGTATTGCAAACGAAAATTTAATATTGTGCAACTGCAAGCATGAAGGGTGCAAAGAATCTAATAGTTGGGCAGGTTGTTGTGAGCAATCTTCACAATCAGTTTATGAAGATTTCGTAGGATGGGTTTGATATATGTTTGCTACTTTCTGTTGACTTGGATTACTTTAGTTTTATCTTTCTTTTTCAAATGTAAATCTTTGTTATCTCTACATGTAGGTGAACCAGAAGATGATGAAAACAACTCTAATCAAGGATCTTTATGGTGAGATTGAACGGCTTAAGGCAGGTAAAATCCTTTGCTATGCCCATTGCTGATAAACAGATTTATTTAAGAGACAATTGATTGTTTTAGCAATATATGTGGTCATAAGATTCTCTGTATTTCTAGAGGTTTATGCTGCTCGTGAGAAAGTTGGTGTTTATATACCCAAAGAGCGATACTATCAGGAAGAGAGTGAAAGAAAGGTACTGCTTCTATCTGATTATTTTTTCATCCCTTTGCCAATTAAGTAATGCTCTATCATATATATTATATCTGTTATTTGACTATTTTATATTCCACATTTCATAAGAAATACAATTTGAAACAATCTCAATAATACTTAAAACACTGCATGGCCATACATAGGATGGTGCCAGCTTTCTACAGTAAACCAGTACAAATGTTTTTTGGCATGGGTTTAATCTCTCATTTTTATTTGTTGTTTATGCATTTAATTTTCTTCTCTTGCAATTTTTTTTCATGTCTAGGCAATGGCAGATCAAATTGAACAAATGGGGGTAACAATAGAAACCTATCAGAAGGTCCTATTTTCATTCCATTTTCAAGTGGTTCGAATTGGTTTTTTGTAGCATTTTCTGATATTTTTTCATACTTCCACATTTTGATTTGTAATAAGCAGCAAATTCAAGATTTACAAGATAACTATGACACTCAGGTTCAACAATGCTCTGATTTGAGCAGTAAACTTGATACCACACAGGTCAGTTGTGTTCAGAATGTCATACTATGGTTTTGGTATTTTATTTGTAGGTTCTTATTTTGTGAGTGTTGCAGAAAAACTTGAATCAAACTAATAAACGCTTGGCCATAACTGAGCAAGAATTGAAGAGATGCAAGTATGCTCTCAAGGAGCGGGATTTTATCATATCTGAACAGAAAAAAGCTGGTATATTCAAATTGATTTAGAACTGTTGAAGTTTTTTAATTTTGGGTAAATCTGAAGCATTTTGTTTAATATTTGACACAGAAAATGCATTGGCTCATCAGGCATGTGTTTTACGCTCTGACTTGGAGAAATCTCATCAGGACAATGCTTCACTATTTCAGAAAATTGGTATGTAGTCCCTTATACAGCATGCTAACTGTAGAGTCCCAACAGGAAATTTTTTGATTGTTTTTTTATCTCTTGTTGTGTAGCTAGAGAGGACAAACTTAATGCTGATAACAGGTCTGTTGTGAACAATTTCCAAGCTGAGCTCACACAGCAACTTGGTTCCCTTTGCAACATGCTAGCCACATCAGTATCTAAACAAAATGATCATATCCAGTGTATTAAGAAATCTTGTCAGTCTTTTCTGGACGTTCATGATAAGGTATTTGGTTATCTTCCAGCGGTTGATTGTCTATTTGTCTTTCTCATCCTTTTCTTTTTTTCACTCTTTGTTTTTCTTTCATTTGATAAATTTTTGGATTTGGATGTCTGGGCATTTCATTTAAATTGTTGTTAACGTAAAAGTACGAGTTCTGAGTGCAGCATTGCTTACTTCTTTTACCTGTTTGTTAACATATTCTGCTTGTAGGCTTTCATTGATTTGAAGAAGAAAGTAACTGCTTCTAGGGCCCTGTATATGTCTCACAATGAGGCATTGCAGAATGTAGTTCGTTTGCACCAAGCAAGCTCTAATGGTACACTAGAGGAGATTTCAGCTTTGGCTTCAGCTAGTGCTCATTCTATTGAAGACGTAAGAAGCTGCAATTCATGCTTTTTCCTGTCTTATTATCTCCATAAAATCTTTTTGTTTTGTTGCTTTATTTAATGTTATTTCACTTTTTTTTTTTGAATTAGTTTTTAGCTGCAGAAGCTGTGGAAACAAATTCGATATATGATGACCTTCAGAACACCCTATCAACTCATCAGGAAGAAATGACACTCTTTACAAGAGAGCTTTGTCAGGTCTACATATTTACTTGAATTTTAGTTCTGCCAAAGAATTTAGTTTATGGTCGAAGGATTCATTGTTGCTTTGTGACACGCTTAAGCTGCAGTTTTGACTCTCATAATTGAAAAATTGAATTCCTGGAATAATTTCTTACTGTATTTATTGTAAATTACTTTTAAAAACTGACACTGTATATTTCCAAGGTATGTTAATGAGGTTTGTGTTTTTGTATTTTATGGTTTTGCCTGCCTTTTTTTCTTGTTTAAACTACATTTCACATTTCTAATATCATATGTCGTTAATTCTTGGGTATTGAAATTGATAGAGGTTCAAATATAGTGTTGAGCATACGACTAGTGTATCCGAGTTTGTTCATGGATTCCTTGATAAGCTTATGGAAGAATCGAAAAGGCTTGAATGTCATGCAACTCGAGTTGATGAGATTCAGACAAAGAGTATTGCTGAATTTCAGAAGGCTTATGAGGTAAAAATTCATATTGTTAAGTGCAATTAATGACTTATATTTGAGATGTCTTACATTTGAAGCTTAACTCTGCAGGAACAGTCAAAATCAGATGCAGAGCAGCTTATTGCTGATATGACCTCTTTGGTCTCCGATCACATCCGTCGTCAAAAAGAGCTGGTTTGTAATGCCTTGTTTTTTCTTCAATGCCTTCTTTATCATGTTGTTTTCTTTATGATAGACTAAGAGTTGAGTTCACAGGTGGACTTAAGGCTTGTTGGTCTTAGAGAAACTGTTACTGGAAATAAAACATTTTTGGATGGGCATGTTTCGTCGATGGAATGTATTACAATAGATGCAAAAAGAAAGTGGCAGGAGTTCTCTATGCAAGCAGAGAAAGATGCCAAAGACGGTGCTGATTTCTCTGCTACCAAGCATTGTCGTATGGAGTTGCTACTACAGAAATGGTAAGTTATGAATCTAATGATTCTTCTTTTGTCTTTTGACCAGAACCTTAAGTTTTTACATTTCAGCTTATGATTAACCTTCTTTTGCTTTAGATAACTTTTTTGACATTTCTGATTTTGTTATCTTTTCTTTATGTTTGTCTGTCATTGTTTCTTTTGCATATTTTCTCTCCAGTGTGGGCACTACTGAAACGGCTCTCAAGCGATGGCAAAAGACACATGAGTCTGTGAAGGAAATAGGGAGCCGACATGTCTCAACAATGGTCTCGCTTGTCAAGTAAGCTTTGATGTACTTTCTCATCGCNAGCACTACTGAAACGGCTCTCAAGCGATGGCAAAAGACACATGAGTCTGTGAAGGAAATAGGGAGCCAACATGTCTCAACAATGGTCTCGCTTGTCAAGTAAGCTTTGATGTACTTTCTCATCGCTTATTTATCTGTCAAGGAGCCAGATGAATAGGAAATTTTCCATTGCTCAATAGTTTTTCGTTCATGCATTTTGTATGAGTGCTTTAACTGAATTTTAACTATTGATGTCTTATTGGAACAATTCTTTTTTTTTTTTTTCTTGCAGAATATATAATTTTGTTCTATCATTTTTTAGTTTCAGATCATGTTTGGTTACAAACAGATACAGATTCACTAGTATGCCCATAATTTTTTCCATTTAGAACCAGGCAAAACATAATCATATTATGTTGATGTTTGATTTTATTTGTTACAGGAGTGCGTCGGATAGTAATAAGCAACATGATACTGAGGTCAGTGACACAAGGGCTGCTGCTGAAGATGATGTAACAAAGAACAACGATGATATCATTCAGTGCTTTGAGGGTAAGTCTATTCTATGTAAGAGGATGTTCAGTTTGCTAGCTATTTAGCTTTATATGTGTGTGAATCTATGGGCCTGTTCTCCCTCTTTTGTGGTTTGTGGAAGATGTGCTAATGCAGCTCCAAAACGAAAAGAAGATGTGCTAATCCCTCACCTAAGCTGTTGTGTCCTCTAGCCCCATGGACAGTCACAAAAATAAAGTTGCAAACCTTGTTGCAAATGTGGGCTGCCAATTAATTAGTAAATGACCTTTCTGTGAGTTATATGGTTTGTGGATTGGGAGCTGCTGCTTTCACAGACTATTCTTAGCAGGAGTTGCTATGCTTGTGTCTTGCAAATATCCTATATTTAGCACACACTCCCATGCATATATCACTTTGCTTCTTTTTTTTTTTTTGTTCCTTGTGAAAGGAAAATATGGAGCAATACATTCTGTAGACTCTAACTTTGTGATATTCCATCCAACGCAAACAGATTGTAGATGAAACTCCAACTGTTATTTTGTTTGGTGCAATCCCTTCTTTTCCCGCATTGTCAAAATATAGTTGGCCACACTTTAATTGTCTAGAAAAGCTTCAGAAATAGGTTGACATGGTTGTCGACCTTTTTTTTAAGATTCAGCATGAGAGATCTGGATTGTCTTCTTGTCAATCAGTCCTGTGTCAGGATGGACTATATGCATGCCATGTCTACTAATATTCCTTCGTCTTGTGGATGTCTTTAATATGACATTGTTATATGGATGGGAGTAATATGAATTCACGCTCTTTCTATAATGTTTGGTGGTCCTTTTGGATGTTAACTGCAGGTACGGCGGAGCAAGAGCGAGGATCTATATCTGGAATTCTGGAAGCTGTAAAAGCTCATGCAAAAACGCTTGAGATTCTCCGAGAGGATCACTCCATGAAGTCGGCTTCAATAGAACAGAAGGCTCATGATATTTTCCAGCATAAATATATGGTATATGTTAATTTAGCAGTTAAGTGCATGTTATTATGGTAATAATAAGTGTCATCGGTATGGAATTGGGAAATGCCATTGGAGATTTTAGCATTTCCTGCGATGTGAATATTATGGTTAGAGATTGATCTTTGATGCGTCTCGTCAATCCTTATAGTCCACAATTTGGTGAATAAAAAAATATTTGAAAGAAAGAGAAGGTTGCAACGCCTCAAATTTGTTAAAAATGTGCCCCTGAACACCACTATCCTCAACATTTGATCCCAAAATCTTTTTTAACTCACTGTTAAGATGGGGAAAATTTTTGTTAGTCAAACAATCATCAACATAAAATCGGCTTGATCAAGTACCATTATGAATCCAAGATTTTCATGGTACAGCTTGGTGTGATATTTGGGTTGGTGAATTTGAAACGAGTGAAAAAAATATTGCCATTGGTTATCATCTAGAAATTGTACGAGTTGAAGGGAGCAGAGGGAGACATCCAGATAGAGTTTTGCTACTAGAATCTTTCATGTGAAGGATTTGACAATATCTTTCTACTAGTCATTTGGCCCTCATATCTGTCTATGCATCCACTGCAGATGCTGTAATAAAGTCAAAATTTACATGAGTTGAAAACCACCTTTCTTAGTGGAATATGAGGTTATTTTGTCGCCTCTGCTTATGTTAAGAAGTTTTGATTAGGTATGTGTTTTCTTCAGTGCCTATAGACTAAAGAGGACATCTCCTTTGTATTTCTGTTCTTATATGAGACTAATTTGTTAGATCAGATTTTCTCCAGAATTTTGTATACATACAATGTATTGTTGTGCTGACCATATGATTTCTTTTTCTCAATTCTCAGGATTATGAGTCAACTGGCTTGACACCAACTAGGTCTGAACCAGACATCCCATGTAAAGGGACTATAGAGTCTCTTCGAGCCATGCCAATGGAGGCTCTTCAAGAGGAGTTTAGGGAAAGCCATGCCAATGAAGGCTCTTTTGAAGTAAAAGAACAAAAGCCATCTCTTATCCCACGCTCACCCCTCTCACAAGTCAACTAATAGTTGCGAGGTTTCATTTCATCTGCACAGATCAAGTTTGTCCGATTTGTATTTGTATTTTTTGGCGTGTAGCGTTGTTACTAGGATGCAACGGTAGGTTGGGCGGAACTTCAAATTTAAACACGATTTGGGAGGTTTTTCTTGAGAAGATCGACTTCCACACAAACCCTTTGCTACGTTGGAGGCAGAAGATATGCTTGTAGGACCATGAGATGTTGCTGGTGCAGCGTCTGTAATAGGTTCATTAGTCTGAATCATCCCTACCTGGGATTGATTAATCTTTTTAGATTATCTAGGTTGTAAATTGAGGGACAGCTNGTCAGATTTTCTCCAGAATTTTGTATACATACAATGTATTGTTGTGCTGACCATATGATATCTTTTTCTCAATTCTCAGGATTATGAGTCAACTGGCTTGACACCAACTAGGTCTGAACCAGACATCCCATGTAAAGGGACTATAGAGTCTCTTCGAGCCATGCCAATGGAGGCTCTTCAAGAGGAGTTTAGGGAAAGCCATGCCAATGAAGGCTCTTTTGAAGTAAAAGAACAAAAGCCATCTCTTATCCCACGCTCACCCCTCTCACAAGTCAACTAATAGTTGCGAGGTTTCATTTCATCTGCACAGATCAAGTTTGTCCGATTTGTATTTGTATTTTTTGGCGTGTAGCGTTGTTACTAGGATGCAACGGTAGGTTGGGCGGAACTTCAAATTTAAACACGATTTGGGAGGTTTTTCTTGAGAAGATCGACTTCCACACAAACCCTTTGCTACGTTGGAGGCAGAAGATATGCTTGTAGGATCATGAGATGTTGCTGGTGCAGCGTCTGTAATAGGTTCATTAGTCTGAATCATCCCTACCTGGGATTGATTAATCTTTTTAGATTATCTAGGTTGTAAATTGAGGGACAGCTCCACGGGGTAATGTTTAATTGTATTGTTTATAGCGTTCTAGTTTTGTTCTGTTCATGAATTTATGCTTGGTAGTGGATTAAAAAATGTGATAAAATAACAGAAATTATAATTTGTTGATTGACGTAATACTATTAGAGAATAGTCTTTAATAGTCTCATTGATTTTTAAGAATTTTAAATCAATTGAAAATTGAAATAGAACTCGTTTTTAAATTTTATTTAAAATAAATCAAAGTTGTATTAATTTTTAACACAATATAAAGAAGAAACATTAATGGTCTTAAATTACAAGAAAAATCAAGCAAATATGTAATATTACAAAGATATTTCAAACAGTGGGGGTAAAAATAAAAGTGTTTAATAAGTGGCATATATGCCGGTTTTTAGTTAAAAATTGAGTGGGTTAAAGGCAGGGCTATCAATTTTCGACATGATACGTTAATACGATATGAACTAAATATGAAATTAATGGGTTGGATACGAAATTAAACGAGTTAATGGGTTAAAATGGGTCAACTCGTTTAAACACGGAAAAAAAAACATGTCGAGTTCATATTAAAATCAGGTCAACTCAATTTTGACTTGAATAACTTGTATATTTTAAACGAGTTGACATGATTCGGACATAAACTTGACCTAACCCATTGTAGACCCATTTAACCCGTTTATTATAGTATAGTTTACCTATTATGTATGACTGATGTGGTCTTAACAATATTACTTATTAGTTCTTGCTTCTATTATGATAATTGATAGTATAATTCTTAACATTATTATGATAGTATACTAGTATAGTTCTTGTTTTAATTTTTAGGTTGAAATTTAAATGCATTTGAGTTAATTTTATTGATTAAATGTGATATGTTATTTGTAAAAAAATTATTTGAATTTTGGATGAATGATGTATTTAATAGTAATAAACTAGTGTGAAAATAAGTTATGTGTGTTAAACAAGTCTATGTTATGTGTGCTAAATAAGTNTCTTGAGAAGATCGACTTCCACACAAACCCTTTGCTACGTTGGAGGCAGAAGATATGCTTGTAGGACCATGAGATGTTGCTGGTGCAGCGTCTGTAATAGGTTCATTAGTCTGAATCATCCCTACCTGGGATTGATTAATCTTTTTAGATTATCTAGGTTGTAAATTGAGGGACAGCTCCACGGGGTAATGTTTAATTGTATTGTTTATAGCGTTCTAGTTTTGTTCTGTTCATGAATTTATGCTTGGTAGTGGATTAAAAAATGTGATAAAATAACAGAAATTATAATTTGTTGATTGACGTAATACTATTAGAGAATAGTCTTTAATAGTCTCATTGATTTTTAAGAATTCTAAATCAATTGAAAATTGAAATAGAACTCGTTTTTAAATTTTATTTAAAATAAATCAAAGTTGTATTAATTTTTAACACAATATAAAGAAGAAACATTAATGGTCTTAAATTACAAGAAAAATCAAGCAAATATGTAATATTACAAAAATATTTCAAACAGTGGGGGTAAAAATAAAGGTGTTTAATAAGTGGCATATATGCCGGTTTTTAGTTAAAAATTGAGTGGGTTAAAGGCAGGGCTATCAATTTTCGACATGATACGTTAATACGATATGAACTAAATATGAAATTAATGGGTTGGATACGAAATTAAACGAGTTAATGGGTTAAAATGGGTCAACTCGTTTAAACACGGAAAAAAAAACATGTCGAGTTCATATTAAAATCAGGTCAACTCAATTTTGACTTGAATAACTTGTATATTTTAAACGAGTTGACATGATTCGGACATAAACTTGACCTAACCCATTGTAGACCCATTTAACCCGTTTATTATAGTATANGATATTTCAAACAGTGGGGGTAAAAATAAAAGTGTTTAATAAGTGGCATATATGCCGGTTTTTAGTTAAAAATTGAGTGGGTTAAAGGCAGGGCTATCAATTTTCGACATGATACGTTAATACGATATGAACTAAATATGAAATTAATGGGTTGGATACGAAATTAAACGAGTTAATGGGTTAAAATGGGTCAACTCGTTTAAACACGGAAAAAAAACACATGTCGAGTTCATATTAAAATCAGGTCAACTCAATTTTGACCTGAATAACTTGTATATTTTAAACGAGTTGACATGATTTGGACATAAACTTGACCTAACCCATTGTAGACCCATTTAACCCGTTTATTATAGTATAGTTTACCTATTATGTATGACTGATGTGGTCTTAACAATATTACTTATTAGTTCTTACTTCTATTATGATAATTGATAGTATAATTCTTAACATTATTATGATAGTATACTAGTATAGTTCTTGTTTTAATTTTTAGGTTGAAATTTAAATGCATTTGAGTTAATTTTATTGATTAAATGTGATATGTTATTTGTAAAAAAATTATTTGAATTTTGGATGAATGATTGAATGATGTATTTAATAGTAATAAACTAGTGTGAAAATAAGTTATGTGTGTTAAACAAGTCTATGTTATGTGTGCTAAATAAGTTAAACAGATCATATTATGTGTGTTAACTCGAAAACGACCTGTTTATTAAATATATCAAACAGGTCGGGTTCGGATAACTCGTTTAATGGTCAGATCAGGTTAGTGTTTATACATCTCGATACGATTATTAAAAATGTCAGGTTTGAGTTTTAGAATTTTCGACACAAATTTGATCGAAATCAACCAGACACGAAATGACCTAACTCGACACATTTGACACTCTAGTTGAACCCTTCACTCTTCAATCTTGCTCAAATCATTGAGAGCTTTCTAAAATGGGGTCTTATAATATTTTTTGACTTTATAGCTCAAAATCAATCCTGGTTGGTGTTTGATTAAACGGTCTTGATGTACTAGGTAATTTTTTCCTATACGTCCTGCAGAAGACGTGAAAGGATGTGGATTTGCAAACTCGGAAGTAAAGAAGTCCTCACAATTAGGCTCTGATGCTAACATGTCATGACCAGGCTTGCACAAGCAACAAGTTTGTTGTTCTTCAACGCATATGACCTGCAGGGATTTATTTTTTTGAATACTAGTGGAGGTTCCATGCTAGTCATGGATTCCCATCCCACTCTAAAATCTCAATCCCTCGGTCATTGATGGTGATATAATAGAAAACTACAATGGGTTCTTTAAATTTCTAGAATGTAGGTAGTTGAGCAATAATGTTGGGAATGGATATGTGGATAGCTTAAGAAGTTTGATTAAATGAGAACTTGGTTTGTAATTCAATTAGTCAAAATCTTGAAATCTAAGAAATGAAAAATGATTCGGGCCTATTTGGTTTGAATCTGTAAAATAGTTTTTCTATTTTTGAATATGAAAAAAAAAAGTTGTTTGGATAATAGATCTTGTATCCAATTTTCTAAAAACTAGGAACAAAAAGTTAGAATTTCGACGAACGCTAATANCTGTTTATTAAATATATCAAACAGGTCGGGTTCGGATAACTCGTTTAATGGTCAGATCAGGTTAGTGTTTATACATCTCGATACGATTATTAAAAATGTCAGGTTTGAGTTTTAGAATTTTCGACACAAATTTGATCGAAATCAACCAGACACGAAATGACCTAACTCGACACATTTGACACTCTAGTTGAACCCTTCACTCTTCAATCTTGCTCAAATCATTGAGAGCTTTCTAAAATGGGGTCTTATAATATTTTTTGACTCTATAGCTCAAAATCAATCCTGGTTGGTGTTTGATTAAACGGTCTTGATGTACTAGGTAATTTTTTCCTATACGTCCTGCAGAAGACGTGAAAGGATGTGGATTTGCAAACTCGGAAGTAAAGAAGTCCTCACAATTAGGCTCTGATGCTAACATGTCATGACCAGGCTTGCACAAGCAACAAGTTTGTTGTTCTTCAACGCATATGACCTGCAGGGATTTATTTTTTTGAATACTAGTGGAGGTTCCATGCTAGTCATGGATTCCCATCCCACTCTAAAATCTCAATCCCTCGGTCATTGATGGTGATATAATAGAAAACTACAATGGGTTCTTTAAATTTCTAGAATGTAGGTAGTTGAGCAATAATGTTGGGAATGGATATGTGGATAGCTTAAGAAGTTTGATTAAATGAGAACTTGGTTTGTAATTCAATTAGTCAAAAATCTTGAAATCTAAGAAATGAAAAATGATTCGGGCCTATTTGGTTTGAATCTGTAAAACAGTTTTTTTATTTTGAATATGAAAAAAAAAAGTTGTTTGGATAATAGATCTTGTATCCAATTTTCTAAAAACTAGGAACAAAAAGTTAGAATTTCGACGAACGCTAATAACATATTTTCGTCAATTTTGAGACAGTTTAAAAAAAAAATAGAAAACACCGGATGCAATCTATTGTGCATTTAAAGTCATCATTTAAAAAGAAATTCTCTCTCTCTCTCTCTCTCTCTCTCATCCGTGTCTTTCACTTCACTTCCAAGGAAGGCGAATCGATCTTTTTAAACACCCCAGCCTCGCCCGAAGCTCTGGCCTTCCAAGTGGCACATGTCGCACTAGAAAAGGTCCAATTGGCTTTTAACAAACTATTGAAGGAAGCTCTTTCAATGTACTTTGTATTTTCTCATCGATTAATTTTGTATATTTTCTTGAGTTTGACTTTCTCCTTTGATCTACGATCTATGTTGTTGACTTTATTTTTCCGTTCTTCGTAGTGAGGGGGAAGAATGAAATATTTGTTGCATGTTCAACTTTTAAAATTAATTTTTTGTTGGCTGAAATTTGTGTATGGGCGTTCAATACTTGCTTTTTATCCTTGGGTTTTCCTTTCTTTTTTTGAAAAATATCGTGGGTTAATTTTTAGCACCAGACCAGGTAATGTAATGTTGAGAGTTATGTGAGTAAATCTTATTCTTCCACATCTCTTTTACAGAAGACTTTTATCAAAGATTTAATTCAAATTATATCTCCTATTTTATTATTATTTGGATCACTTTCCAAACATGTTATACTATTTTTTATCTTTTAAAATCAAATAACTAAACATGTTTTGATATAAAAATAACTAAACATGTTTTGTAAAAAATTTTTTTTTGACCTACCTTATCTGATCAAGTGTACTATTTCTATT